TGTGTGTGTGTGTGTGTGTGTGTGTGTGTGGTGTGTGTGTACATATATACAATACATATATCTAAACTTTCCAAATAACTTTATTTACTGAATTATTTGCATATGCATATATATCAGGGCTCGGAACGCGATGTATATTCGGTTGAGTTTCGATTCTGCTCGGATGTTGGAATGACAAGCGGCAATCTCGTAGCATATAAATGAAATTTTCGAATACTCATTGCTCTTATACTAAAGCTCATAACTCTTTTCTGCAAGCATAGTTCTTTGAGGTTTTCTGTAAATTGCCAACTACTTATTTTAAACGTGCAAGGTCTGAAATTATTGTATACAAGACATTTTTGATTCGGATATCAACTTAGGCTGTGGTCAAAATCTCGTTACAAATGCTTTGAAGCATTTGAAGGATCAATTAAAAGAAAGAATTTTACAAACTGACCAGTTAACACTTCAAAGCGTTTGCACCATCGCGTTGACCGTACCCTTAGTAAGAAGCACCATTCCTCTTATCTGTCGCGCGCAAACGAAGTACCGCTATCTTCAATTACAGAAATGGATTGAATCATTGTATAAATCAACAATATATTGTTAGCTAGAAACGCAATAATAATAATATATTTTTGTATATATAGAAATATATATCAGGATCGTTGTTTAGAAAAGAAATCGTGCGCCCTTGTCGCATCGGCGATGATGCCAAACCAGAAATCACATTCTTGAATTGCAGAATGAATTATCGAAACAGAAGTACAGAGAAAAAACAGAAAAGGATAGAAGCTCCGATTGTAATCGGTGAGGCTCCGCACGCCGAGCTGAGCTCGTCGAGCGAAACAGCGAATCTAGTCCTCCAGAGTCTATCTCTATGGTCGCTTGTTTCTAGCGATCGAAAATACTTTCTGGGAAATTTCGACCGCTCAACATATATAATTAAGAGAAGGAACATTATAGATAACGTATAAATTTTAATAAATTATACTAATTTTAATAAATTATACTCCTATATTCCTTCAATTTATGTATAATAGCAAAAATAATTTCAAAACACGATAATTTAGGAGATATTGACATTTCTATGATTTTCCATAAGCGTATATATTATATTAGATGTAGTAAAAAGAAATCCATTATTTTTCCAATAGATGGCTTTAGAAATCTGTATCTCATGTTCGCGATTACGATTCTTGAAATGAGGTGAAAATTACGAAAGTGATCGAATTTACTAGAATATTTATAACTTCATTGGTTAACACCTAGTGAGTTTGCTCATTTTTGTAATTTTCACTTCGTCTAAAGAATTGTAATAAACCCCCAGGTCTGGATTCGAGGCGAGAAGTGCCCTGATATTTGTCATCAATTGTTTACACCTTTACGCTATTCTGCTACATGGGTAGGCACTCTTATGGCACGAACTCATGGTATGGAACGTATGCGCAATGCGGAATTAGAGGAACGATGTCCGTCCAGTCGCAAGTATTCCGTTAATTGCGCTCCGCTAACATGTCTTTTCTTATGTTCCATGGAGTGGAATTCGCAGAAGCGTAATTGGCGTGTGTTAATCACAAGAGATCTTTCTGTTGTATCTATGGGAACAGTTATATTATTGGCTTGCATAAATTACGCTTCTGCATTTTTCCACACATAAGGAAACGAATTCATGCAGACCAGAATCACACATGCGTGTGTATGCGAGTACAATCGGTTACAGAAAAGTTGCAACACTTTTTCTTTGATGAGTTTTGGAACGCAGCTTGCTCTCCGAGTGATTGGTTCTTGCTCATGGATCTATAAATAAGAACCAATCGCTCGGTGAGCAAGCTGCATTTTGTAACTCATCGAAAAAAAGATATTGCAACTTTTCTGTGACTGGTATAGACATTCATCAAATATAATCTACAAAACTCTAATTATCTGGCAGCTGTAAAGAACGATGTGATAATAATAGCATGGATCCTTATTAGCCACAAATTTTTTCAATCACGAAAAAGTTATACGCACGTGAGTATTCGGCGGTCCGCTAGAAAAGGATGTTTTCAAGTCTTGAATTGACAATACTGAAATTTAATCGATTAGCTTAATCGGAGTTGATGAAATCGGCCCTTTGTTTTCTTCGCACAAATTCTCACAATTCCGACAATTTTGTACCATTCCATACATTGGGTATATTCAGTATTACAACTGTTCGGTGAGCTCTTGCATCTAATTAGCATATTCCATTAGAACTAAAAATATAGACCAAACAGATATAAGAGCTCATTAAATGCTCACTGAGCTTAATGAGCTCTTATATCTGTTTGGTCTATATTTTAGATGCAAAAACTCAGTGAGCAATTGTAGTACTGAATGCATCTATTGGGCACATTCAGCGGATTCAATAGTTGAGTGAGCGCTTGCTGTTATTGTGTAGTATTTTTTTAAATCATCCAATCAGCATTTTAAATCTGGAAGAATACATCAATGGCTGCGTTCAGCAGAACACAACAGTTTTGCAACCATTTTATGATTGTCTGCTGAGATAAGACCATTCTTCTTGATCTAAAAGCGTAACCCAATCAAAGCGAAGAAAACTTCCAACAGTTGCAAAATAAACGTTCTGCTGAACGCAGCCAATAGCAGCGAGCTTACTCAATTGTTGCAAAGCGGCTGGGCATGCTTACGAGATTGAATATGATTGGTTAGATTAGATCTATAAGTAGCAACCAATTATGCTTATTTGCTCGACAAGCAGGCTAGCCGCTTTGTCAACTTGAATGCCCGTTGAATTGTAGAATGTATGCATGTCAGTTTATACCGGGTGAAATAAATCACGTATAATTGAATGTATTAATGTTTATCATTTTGTAAATGTGTATATTAATAATAATAATATAAAATATAGAAAACAATTATGCATATCAAATGTGAATTTACATGAAATACATAATTTTAACTTATTTCTTAGGTTATGTTACATTTCATACATTTACGAAAAGATGTTTAATAGAACTTTTATAAAAATTGAAACGAAAAAAATAAGTTTGAAAAGTTTAAATCAAGTATTATAGGAAATATTCTTTTTTATAGAGAGATACTGAAACCAAGTTTATGTAAATATCAACATGGATGCGGATTTATATGATGAATTTGGAAATTATATTGGTCCTGATTTGGCATCAGAAAGTGAAGATGAAAATGAATATGGTAATGTTGGTGATGACACCGAGGATAGAGAACGATCGGATGAAGAAATGGAAGAAGACAAGGATGAATCACGAGAACAAGTGGAACAAGGATCTTCTATGGCAGTTGTATTGCATGAAGATAAACGATATTATCCTAGTGCATTAGAAGTGTATGGACCTGAGGTATAATAAAGCTACTAATTAATTTTTTATTTATATAATAATTTATAATAATTTATAATAATTTCAAGCATTAGATTATATATTTTATAAATATTTTTAGGTAGAAACGCTTGTACAAGAGGAAGATGCCCAACCACTAGATAAACCATTAATAGCACCTACTAGAAAAGCAAAGTTTCAAATAAAACAACAACAGCTGCCTGAAACTACATATAGCATTGAATTTTTAGCAGATATGATGGATGCACCACATCTTATTAGAAAT